CACGCACGAGGAACTGCTCCAGAAAACGGCGAAACAGCAAGGAGTGCAGCTGACGGGAGAACCGCTGCTACCATGCCTCGGCTGTTCGATGTCCAAGGGGCAGGTGAAGCCCATTTCAAAGAGCACGGACACACGCGTAGCTAAGAAATTGTTCCGCCTCTTTCTCGATTTGGGGGGGAGGATGCAGTTCAAAAGCATTGGTGGCAACTGGTACACCCGCATCATCCGAGATGATTGCACCCGCTCCGTGGAACAACCGCTCCGCCCCGTGGACAAAACCTCTCCAAGAGCAATTCTGAACTTTCAAGCTTCAATGGAGGTCGCCTGCCAGCCCTGACAAACGCCCACGTGTAAAGCGCCCTCTTATTTAGTGCCTGATTGTTACTGAATAACAACCCGAGCTGTTGGGACTCTAATCACCATCCCTGCAATGCACTTGAAAAAAACTCATGATCTAATCAACCAGATGCTTGACGGGTATATTAAATACCTTGACCCGGGGCGACACCAAAACCGAACTGATATCCCTCACATTCTGCTTTCATATCCTCAGGCAATAACCAAAAACGCGTTGCCGATCATGCTTAGATGGGCGGAACAGCTCACAAAATTCTCTGAACTACAACAACACAGAGTAAACTTCATTCCACCAAACAAGAAATAAACTCACTGTTTTCTTATCACTTTCGCACAAACCACAGTAATCCTGCCCTCGATATACCTCAGGCCTTTTAGCCTGCAGCTCTATTGGAGTCTACACTTCGGCGTTCTTCTTACATCGACAAACTGGGTTTTCGGTCTACCGCGAACAGCGAGCAATCGGGGCAAGAGAACCAACAAACCGGTCTCGTGGTTGCGCAGTCACCCAAAACAGTCGCGAACGACGATTACGTCGAAGAGGATCACCGCGGACGGCGCTCACTGTAGGTGCTTCGAAAAAATAACCAAAACAAAACTGTCGTTGCGTTGCTCCCATGTTGCGACCTTGCACTGGTACGCACATGCAAACCAGACCTCGCTGTCAACGAAGCAAATATGCCAGAACAGATCGACGCCGATCCTGAAAAAATCCTCCAAGTTGCGTGCAGCAATGGGATTTCTTTTCTGCCAGCAAGGGGGGGGTGTGTGCTCATAGTCGTACATGCCGTAGTCGTTAGACCATTGACCTCGCATCCCTACAAAGCCGGGACGGAGCACGCCGGGTTCTCACCGGACCAGGCTCTCACATCACCAAGCGCGAAGCGCCGTGAGATATTCGGCGAGTCGCATGAAGGGTGCGCTGCATCCTGCTAAGGGTTTTCGGCATCTTGTGCTTTCTAGTCCTTTCACTTCCTGAGACAGTTGTAAGCACTGTGTACCTGCGTCGAGGGTGCTTGACCATTGTAACAGCGAGGGGAAAGGAAAAAGGCTTCTTCAGGGGGTAGTTTCGGGATGGTGCAACGAAACCTGGTCATCACCGCACAAAACTGGTTCAAACACAGCACGCAGTAGCGCAACGTCCGGAAACGCTAGAGCGCAACTGAACTTCACCCACATCTCACCTGCAGGCCAACCCAAAAACATTCTTCGAAAACCCAGCCCTTCTACCTTCACAGGAACCCCACGACCGTCCGAAAAACTGCATCCAGCTCCACTACCCGGGCCAGCAAAACCCCAAACCCGCGCCTGCGGCTCACGCTTCCACCCCCACGCCCACGGCCGGCACGGGTCCGGGCCCTATCCCTGCCGCCTCTTCCCCTCAGACTCGTGGTCATCACCTTCCCGGGCAAAGCGCGGCACATGACCAGAGTGCCCCAGCGACGCCACGCCCTGTCTTCCGGCGCCTTGTCTAACATCTGTCGCAGGGCTCGACTTCTGTTGGAGCGGCCTACAACCAGGGCTTCGGGAGTGTAGCCTTCGTTGTCGATGGCCGTTTCGTCCGCGCCCCATCTCAGCAAAAGGTCGACTGTGTCCCACGAATTAAGTTTGGGATTCGTACACAGCATGTGTAGTGGAGTCCGGCCGTCGTCACATTTTGCGTTGTCTACGGCTCCCTTCCGTGACAGTTCGGCCATACTGACCTTCTGGTGATAGGCGGCGAGGTGAAGGGGTGTCAGCCCCCTGAATCGTTGCGAACCTTCGAAAAATTCCACAGATCTCGCTTCCAGATCGACCCTAGCCTCGAGGAGAGTATCGATCACCTTCGCGTTCTCAGCATTCCACATCAATAAACGCGGAGAGAAGTACCCAAACACTTCCACCGCAGCCGCGTGCAGTGCGGTGAAGCCGAGCTGATCGACTGAGAGGATGTCCGCACCGTACTCAAGCAGGGTCCTCGTCATGGCCGCTTGGTCGTGCGCAAAGAAAAGCGGTGAACGTTCATTGAGGCTGCCGTACCGAGCGTTATTAGGGTCAGCACCCGCCTTCAAAAGAGCCTCTGCAACTGTGATACGTCCTCGGTTGACAGCCACGTGGAGCGGTCACTTTCCTTCGTTGTTAGCCGCGTTAACTTGAGCCCCCCTGCGTAAGAGCGTGCCGACGAACTTGTCGTCGTCATAAGCGGCAGCAAAGTGGAGGGGAGTATTGCCGTCGATGTCCTTGGCTTTTGGGTCCGCTCCCCCAATCACCGCATCTCCGGCGAGCTGCAGGTGTCCGCCTTCGATGGCGTAGTGTAGGGCGCTACGACCCTTGGCATCAAGCAAGCCCACATCTGCCCCCGGCAAGCATCAGTACGCGCGCCGCTTCAGTGTGCCCACCAGCAAGCGCCCCGTGGAGTGCAGTCCTTTCGCCTCCTTTTGCCAGCAAAGTCGACACCATCTCCTTGTTTCCCCCTTCGGCAGCCGCCTGCAGGAGAGTGCGGTCGCCACAACCCTCCTAGCCAGCACTGCCGTCAGCCCCGGCTTTCAGCAGGGCCAAGGCACGATCCTTGTCACCCTCGGCCACAGCGTGCTGCAATGGGGCTCCAAGCCATTTCGACCATTGCGCCGATGCCGCTTTCTCCGATACCAGCTTGAACAACGTCCTCTCCAGACCGTTCAAGGCTGTGCGGTCCTCTTCGGCTGCCATGATCCAACAAAATATGTTGCTTCCTGTATCTTCGCTCAGCGGAAGCTGCGCCGTGACTCACTCTTCGCTAATAAGTGCCGTTGGTTGTTATTGAGAACCTCCTGCAAACGTTGAGCATGCAGCAGCACGGGCGGAGGCATACATTATATCTGCGCAACCTGTTGAGGTTGGTTGCACTCGTACACAGCTGCATCAGCACTCAACGCATACTCTACCGAGTTACCCCGCTTAGAACCACTTCTCCAGCCGTTTGCTCATGATGGACTGATTCAAGAGGGTAGAGTAACCTTTGAGCACTTTGTTATATTCACAATGTCTGCTTATTTCACGCGGTGCCCTTTGTCCTAACCAGCAACCATTCTAGCTGAGTGAATTGAGTCAAAACGCAGGAACCCGCGAAGCTGGAAAAAGCGCACGTGTCTCCAAGCACATTCAAGACAGCTATATTGCCCCGTGTTACGAGAGAACATGGAGCGCAACCTATGCGTCCACTCTCCTTGCTGGCGGCAGTGTAGAACACCAACTTACGTGCGCGTTATAGCTGATCGATAATTCGGGTGGCTCGGTTCTTTGTGCTTGGAGCTCAAAGC